AGGCTGAGGCAGGAGACTCGCTTAAGCCCAGGAGTTGGAGGTTGCTGTGAGCGTGATGCCATGGCACTCTACCCAGGGGGATAAGCTTGAGGCTCCATCTCAAAAAAAAAAAAAAAGATACATCCCTAAATTTGCCAGCTATACCAGCCTAAGAAAAAACTTAACCAATGATCACAGATGTCAGGCAGATGCTATGTTATTAATAAGTAGATGAGTAGAACCTGTCCAAAGAACAGCTAGTTTGGTCCCATTATTTACTTGGTCACACGACATGTATTTCATTAAACACCATGGGGCAAAACCTGAAGCGTAAATGCAGGTCTTAGGGTCACATCTGGAACTGTGATTTGACAGCCATACCCAGTAACTAGCAGAGATGGCAGGGAAATGCCACAGTCAATGATTCTAGTGGTGAATTTCAATCTATCAATGTTGAGACTTTCATCTAGAAATGGGAAAAATTATGATCTGGCGAGTAAGATCTGATGGTGAAGTGGTCAAAGGTTGTAAGTCTATACTAAGCATCAAACAAAGAGAATCGAAACTGAAACACAGAAAACTGCCAATGAGATTGAAAGCCAATGGATTTTACAAATAAAGACCAAAAAAAAAAAAAAAAGAGGCTTGCCTCTGGAAATGAAGAACAAGATTAAATGAATCTCAAAGCAAAGAAAACAAGCCCAGTTAAGAAACATGAAACTCAGGGATTGGAGTGTATTCATCTACTCTGTGAACACTTATTGAAGAAATGCTCTATGCCAAGGTAAGAACCATGAATATATATATTTTTAAATGTGGTAGGTAAGAAGCCTTCTGAATGATAAGGGACCACCCAAACAGTGCTCCTCTGAGATAGCAGCACACGCCTCTCTCACTTCATCACATTTCTGTTCACAGCTCCCCAACCTCTCACTCTCTGCTTCATTTCCATCTTCACACTTGTCGGTATCTGACACTGTATTACACATTTGTTTATTTATATCTCTGTTCCAATAAAACACAAGTTCCAAGAACACAGGGAGCATCTCTTCTGTGCACTGATGAATTCCCAGCACTATAACATGCCTGGCATTTAACAATTGTTTCAATAAGTATTTCTTTAAGAGGATGAATGATTTCACGGCTTTATAAAAACTTTAATAAAAGGAGCATGCACATAATAATAGAGCTTATGAAAAAAGAGGAAAGCGACTGCTTGTCTGGGGTAGGCTGAAGGAATAAAGGAAAATTTAGACAAGCCCCGGATCCATGTAGAAGCACAGGAACTCTGAACAACATAAACTTCTGGCTACAGTGACCAAACACACAAAGAAAACTTGTCTTCTTATTTTAAAACGCTTATGTTAATTTAAACACTACATAGGTTAGCTGTGTGTTGCTACCTAACCTATGTTTTTAAAAGACATATTTCATCATGTGATGTAAAAGTCAAGAACCAAGACACCATACTACAGAGCAACCTAAACCTCAACTTTCTCTTTGAATTTCAAGGCCATTTACAAAGTGGTCCCAAACACTCTCTGCAATCTAACTCTTCAGCCTATTCCAGTGCCCCAGTCACATGATCTGCCAAGCTTTGGGCCACGTCTTCTCCCACCTCAAGGTCCTCGTTCAGACTCTGTATCTTAATTTCAATACTGTTCTTTTTCTCTCCCACTAATGCCATGCCTGCCTAATGCAATGCCATGCTAGATTTGAAATCTAGCAAAAGTCTCACTTTCTCCTTTAATCTTTCTCTGACATCAAATTTCCACATATCTTTCTCCTTTTTTAACTTAGTTACACATGTAGCTAATACCATTTTCTTTAACATGTACCAGTTTTTCTCTGATCAGATTATAAGTTCCATTTTACTTTCTGTATGCACTTAGTGTAATACTAAGGACACAGGCACTCAAAGTATATACAGACACAAGTTTCCATGTAGTTGACTGGAAGGCTAATTTCTATTTTAGATAACACCAAATAACTGATCCCTATTCACTACTTACCAGATCAATAAGGCTTTCTTGTATTCTATTTAGAGTTGTTCTTAGTCGACTACTGCTAAGGCCAAGTCCTGTCGATTCCAACTGAAAAAGAAAAAAGAAAGGCTTGCCACATTGCTGTGGAGATAATCTTGCAAATGCTGTATCTTCAAAAGAACCAAAGAACCTGATGAGTTTTAATTCAGATACTTAGCCTTCAGAGGGTTTCCAAATTGGGTTTTAAAATTCCCACATTATCCAGTGAAGAAGTCAACCCTCAGCTCTCAAGGGAACCAAAGAACATTTATTTACCTGTATGCGTTTACAGGTCACACTAACATCTACCAGTTTTATAAGTTATTAGGAAAGAGTTCACTAGAATTTCCTTCCAACAAGTTATTTTTACCAATAGTTACAAAACCTGAGATTTTTAGAAATGTAAAGATGTAAACGCTGGTGTATTAAAGGTATGCTGTGTTGTGTTTATGTAGAAGCATAAAAATATAAAGTATTGCTGATTTATTTTCCTTACACAAATCAGAGGTAGCCTAAATCCTCACCCAAAAATCAATGAAATTTTCTGTTAGCCTTAGCAAATATTTCACAGTACAGGATTCTACGCACTACAATACAGCCAAAGCATTTATAAAAAACTTCACAAAAGAACATAAATGAGAAGGGTGACTTCATAACTGTGAAGGCATGAAAGGCAGTTAGCTCCTTGTATGACGATTTAATTGATGAAAATTATTTTAATTTAGACATTATCATAAAATACAGACATTTTTTAAAAAGTTAAAATGTTCTCTATAAACTGGTAAATTTAAAACAGTATTTACTAATGGTAAACTATAATATATAGAGTATCTTTAATGCATTCACAGAAATTATGTATGACTACACGTGTATACATACACACACAAGCACACACACGCATTTGTTATACTTGTTCTGAGATACGACAATGAGAAATTCACAGGTGTTGGAAAGCCTTAAGCTATACTAGGTGTGTGATGACACTGGGTGATAAAACATGTCCTAGTTTTATATGCTAATTTTATAACATATTATATTTTCTTTACGTTTTCTAAAACTTTTATTAATTCACTTTTCCTCTATTTTTATTAGTTATTTTTATATATAAAAAAAATCCAGGGTGGTGCCTGTGGATCAAGGCATAGGGCACCGGCCCCATATACCAGAGGTGGTAGATTCAAACCTGGCTTCAGCAAAAAAAAAAAAAAATTGGCAGTGCCTATGGCTCAAAGGAATAGGGTGCTGGCCCCATATGCCGGGGGTGGTGGGTTCAAACCTAGCCCCGGCCATAAAAAAAAAAAAAAAAAAATCCAGCCATTTTAAGTATGCAGTTTGAAGAATTTTGGAAATTGTATACAATCTTGCAATCAGCACCACAATTGAGACAAGAAAAGTTCCCTCACCCTTAAAAATGTCCTCATCCCCTTTCCCCATCCTGATCTGCTGTCACTATAGTTTTAGCCTTTCCTAAAATTTCATATAAATGGTACATACAGTGCATAATCTTTAATGTTTGATTTATTTGGTATGTTTTCGAAATTCACCCATATTGTGAGCCTATTAGTACTGTGTGCTCTTTTTATTGCTTAATAGTATTCAATAGTATGGACATAGCACTATCTGTTTACTTATTCAGTCAATAAACATTTGGGTTCCAGTTTAGGACTATTTGAATAATGCCACTATGAACATGTGTACATATGTCTGTCTTGACATACATTTTTAGTTCTTTAAGTAAATAACTAGAAGTGGAATTTTTAGTTCATATCTTAAAATATATATATATGTAACATAAAAGACAGAGTCTCACTTTGTCACCCTCTGTAGAGTTCTGTGGCATCATAGCAACCTCAAACTCTTAAGCTCATGTGATCCTCTTTCCTCAGCCTCCCAAATAGCTGGCATTATAGGTGCCTGTCACAACACCTGGCTATATTTAGAGACAGAGTCTTGCTCTTGCTCAGGCTGGTCTCAAATTCCTGAGCTCAAGCAATTCACCCACCCTGGCCTCCCTGTGTACTAGGATCAGGTGTAAGCCACCACGCCCTGCCTTCTTAAATATATTTTTAACTTCATAAAGTACTGCCATACTATTTTATAAAGTGTGTGAATTCCAGCTGTTCTGTGTCATAAACTGAATATATGTGTCTCCCCAATATTCATGTTGAAGTATTTAGAAATGGGACCTTTGTGAAATAATCATGGGAGATGTAAGGATTAGTGCCTATATGAGAAGAGACACTCAAGAGCTTACTCAGTCTTCCTACAGGAGCGGAGGGAAGGCCATGCGAAGACACAGTGAGAAAGTGGCCATCTGCATCCAGAAGCCTGCCTTCTCCTAGGAAGGAAGGGCCAGTCTCCAGAACTGGGAGAGAGACACTGTTCTTGTTTAAGCAGTCTAGTCCATGATATTTTGTTATGCCAACAAGAGCAAAGGTTATGAAACCTTGAAGTTTCTATTTACAAATCTAATTGATTAAGAGTTGCTCATGTTTTCCATTCCTTCTTAATGGGTCAGTTTTTTATAAATTTGCCACAGAATGTGTCTATTTCATTTAGTTTGGCAAATTTATTGGCATAAAATTGTACATACATTTCCTTATTATCCTTTCGGTGTCTTAAAGGATATGAAGTGATGCCTTCCTTTCATTTTTGATATCCATAGTTTGTGTCTCCTCTATTGGAACTTTTCCCCCTTGTAAGTTTATAGGATTTTATCAATATTATTCTTTTTTTTTAATAAAAACCAGCTTTCAATTTTTTTCTAGTACTTTATATTCAATTTCTTTGATTTCTCTCTTCACCTGTATTATTTCTTTTCTTCTGTGCACTTTGGGTTTAATTTGCACTTCTTTTTCTATTTTCCTAAGGTGGAAATTTAGACACTGGAGACTTTCTTTTCTCCTATTGGCATTTAAAGTAAGATATTTCCCTCTAGGCAGGGATTTAGCTGCATCCCACAACTTTTTGTATGTTGTATCTTCATTTAGCTCAAAATATTTTCTAATTTCTCTTGTGAATTTCTTCTTTGATACAACTGTTATTCAAAAGTGTGCTGTTTAATTTCTAAGCAATTTTCCTAGTTATCTTTTTATTGATTTCTAATTTAACTGCAATGACATCAGACAATATGTTTTATATTATTTCAATCTTTTTAATTTTATTAGGACATATTTAATGGTCCAGAACATGGTCTATCCTGATAAATGTACCACATGCACTTGAAATACACTTATCTTGATTTTGTTAGGTATGCAGTCTAATATAGAGCAATTAAGTCAAGGTGGTCTCTGTTCAGATCACTTGTCTTTGACTATTCTGCAGTCAGAATGTTACTCATAAACAAGGTTCACAGAATAGTTAGAGACATGGGTAGACTGAATTTGGGCATTCCCTCTCTCGCTCTTTCCCTTTTGAGCTTCCTTCCACTCTTTGCAGTGTCTATTTTTCTGGCTTCCCAGTCCATAAAGACTGCAGGTCTCCCCCTGCTTGCCTCCACTTGTGAGCTACGTGGACTGCTAAAAGTCAAGGGCACGAATTTTATTTTTATAGCTTCTCTTTCCCCCACCTGCAGACTAGCCTGAACTCCCCACGAGAGTCTCCTGGCTCCCTCTGTTTACTCCTCAGTATATTCAAATAGTTGCCTTTTGTATAATAAGCAGATTTCATAGCTGTTTTTTTTGTAGGGAACATCATTCAGTAAGGTCTTAGTGACTGTGGAAGTTAAATCATTTCTGAAAAGCTTAGATAGTAAATGACAGACTCACTATAAAGAGTTTTATTAATGAAAGGTAAGTAAAGCTTACCAGTGGTTGTCAAGTAACAACCCCCATAAGATCTACCTGGGTAACAAATCATTACAACATTGATCCGTCTGCCATAAGCATTGGCTATGTACTTTCTACTGTGTTAAGGTAAGCTATGGAATGGTCTTCACAAAAGAATGTGACAGAAAAGACCAAGGAAAACGTAACTGAAGAGGTGAATGATGAAAAGCTGGAGGTAAGGCAGGATCAAGGAATTATTATAAATAACATTATTGTAATGGGATTGGATATAAAATAGAGCATGACCTAGTTGGTTATAACCAGATCAGTGATGAGCAGGAGCTTCTGGAAGAACGAGTATCAACAGGAGGAATCCTTTAGACTAAAGCATACACTGTATCCCCCCAGTCAATGATTTCCACAATCCAGAACTCCTGAGAAAAAGATGCTTATTTTTCCATAAGGAAATCCATCTAAATACACATACACAAGTCCCTTTCTTCTGAAAGAGAAGCAGGTGCAATCATATACCTTGTTCTTCCCATTCAATTTACTACCTGATTCCCATTCCCCTGAGACTTAACAGCTAATAGGACAATTTGGAGTATTTATTTATCTTTAAGAATATATGGAAATTGCTAATGGGCTTGAAAAGCTTATTCTCTCAGAAAATCAAAAGCTATCTCTTCAATCTTATATGCATGCATATAACTGTACTAAACTTTGTAACTAACTGCACTTTGCTAACTTTCTCAGGTTCTAGTGAACTCCATCGTGCCATTTACTTATTTACACATTTTCTTGTTCCAAAAGGAACTTAAAGCAGCTAATTAAGAGGAATATAACTTTGCACGGTTAAAAACAACATTAAATGCATATAAAAATTAAGCAAAGCAAAATATAAGTATAAAAGGTGGAGTGCTACTTTGTACAATTTTTACAGAAAACCCCTTCAAAGAGATTCAAAGTCTTTGTTTAAAATAGTGTTTCCCTCAGTTTTGCAGAATTGAAAACAGTAGTATCTGAATTATAAGTTATTCTATTTAAAAATATATTTTTAACATTCACACTGTAGGTAAAAGCTAATATTACTGAATATAACCTAATAATAGAAAAGGTCTTTCTTAAAAAGTATAAGAGAATAGGAAATGTTGGGGTTGGAGACAGAGCCTCAAGCTGTCACCCTAGGTAGAGTGCCGTGGAGTTCACAGCAATCTCCAACTCCTAGGCCTAAGGGATTCTCTTGCTCAGCCTCCCAAGTAGCTGGGACTACAGGCACCCGCCACAACGCCTGGCTATTTTTTGGTTGTAGTTGTCATTGTTGTTGGGCTGGCCCAGGCTGCATTCGAACCTGCCAGCTCTGGTGTACGTGATTGGTGCCTTATCCACTTGTGCTACAGGTGCCGAGCCCCATATGCACATTTTATATTCGTTCATATACTACAGACTGTTTCTAATATAACATATGGTAGCCATCCAGGTTAAGTATAGAAAACTTTATAACTGACAGCTAATAGTTTCAATACAATTTAAATAGTTTTTAGTGAGTCTTACAGAATTGAAAGTGCTTGCAATATAGAATATCGGACCAAAGTGTTCTTTAAAATATAGCAGATCTTTAACAAAATATGTAACATAATTTATAACAAGCATCAAACTATATTGTGCTAACTTTCTGAGGTGCTAGTGAACTCCACTGTTAACAAATCTGTATTATTATCTAGCCAGCTGAAAAGTCATACCAAAACTGTACTAAGCAGAAGTTCCAGAAGGATCCTATCTATTTTAACGCATCTTATCAATGATAGTCACTAGTCATATGTGACTATTTAAATTTAAAGATAAACTAACTAAAATTAAATACAAGTAAGAATTCAGTTTTTAAATCACATTAGTCATATTTTAAGTGCTCAGAAGCCACAGGTGCCTAGTGGCTACTAACTGGGTAGTGCAAATACACAGGCTTGCTATTTACTGTGAAATCTCTGGAGAGCCCTGGTATAGACACATGGTATGAAAGACAACATCAGGCTCCTGCAGAAGACTGAAAGACTCTGACAATTAGCTGAAGCTCCAATGTTTTCCTCCATTACTGTTTATATTAAAAGATAGTATCTTTGATCTAACAAGGATATGAATATTTATATAAACGTAATTTTACTTTAAATTTATGTTTTTTAAAAGGTATTAAATATAGGATAGGAAAAGTTAGTACTGTGATATGTTCATAGGACCCAGCAGCATGCTTTTACAGAATCTGACTGTCAAACATCTAGGCAATCACATAATAATTTTCAAATATCAGAGTAATTACCTGCCTAATGTATTATTCTTCATTAGGAAAGAAAAAGATAAATCCAATAAGAGCTTTGGAAACACAAAAAGGAGGTGCAATAAACATTAATTCTGTGGCAGGCAGATGGTTCAGTTCAAAAATGTTCAATTATTTTAATAAATATTTCTCATTATCTTCTGAATGTGTTAGTGACGGCTACGGTTGTTAGCTAATATTTAAAATGTCTCATTTACTGTATAGTAATTATATGTGGGGCCAGATTTGGATAAAGCAACCTGCCCATTTTTCATTGCCAAATTATGTCAAGGTTAGAAACAGATGTTGCACTTTTTCTGCCAAAAATCCGAATAATATGCAATACATTTATCATATCACAACTTAAAATATAAATAAGGCAATTAGGTAGACAGAAAGTTGGTATCAATAATTTTTCACTGATGGATAATTCTCAAAGTAACATTATCTTATACAGAGAGAATGAAAAGCTTTATTTGACATTTAAAAAATAAATGAATTTTAAAAGAAATAGATATCCCCCCCAAAGGCTGACTTACTGAATCATTCCGACCAAAAAAGGTATATATGGCATATAAATAATAATCAAATAGCTGAGACATAAAATGGATAACATCAAAGGCAATTGGCTTAAGAATGTTCATCATCTGCATATATTTCCCTGGAAGACAAAAATTAAAAATTGAGTAGAATTAAAATCTGTTACTCTATAATTATAAAAAGACAATAAAAATACTACATTAAAATATTTAAACAAAAGAAATATTTCATTTCTCAGTCACATTAGTCACATTTCAATTATCAGTAGTCACATAACAAAGATTACAAATAGTTCTATTATCTTGGAAAGTTCTATTGGGCAGCACTGAAATAAATGGTACCTACAATAGTATTTTCCTCTTAATATGTCTTACCAGTTGTGAAACATTCATGGAGCAGCTATACTCTTCTACAAATGACACTGCACACACAACACAGTTCCTCTTTTCTAGAAAATTCCATTAAAATAATTTGTTCCAAAATGTTTAAGTTTAACAAAGTAAAATACAATATATTTGAGAAAAAGTATTTTTCATAAGCTTATACATACATAAAGTAAAAAACCAAGCTAAAAAGAAGATGTATGGACACATGGAAGACACTGCTCATTTCCCTGTGAAATCTCATATCAGAGGCCAAGAATATTTCTTTATTACTACATCACTCAAGGGCTTAATACCCTGAAAGTGCAAAGAACATATCCTTCTCATTCCATCTTCCGGGAGATACCAACATTCTATTCTCTTTTTGCTAAACATATGACCATAGAGTCACAGAAAAAAAATTTAAAAGCCAGATTTCTTCATTTACAAACTTGCTAATGAGTCTGAAGGGTTTGTAAGAGTTGAACTGAATCAAGTAACAAATAACTGTAAGTCCTTAATTCCATTCTATTTTAATGGAAAATAATGGGGGAAAAAAGCATATCTATTAAAAATGCTCTCTACTGTCTTCAGAAGAAGATGTTAAAATAGGCCATTTGCTTAATTTCCAAATGAGCAAATAATTTTTTTTTTTTT